TGGCTGCGATTTTTTTCGGAGGAGGTACAGGGTTTTGGAGTTTTTGTGAGGAGTTCTTCACTTTTTCAGCCGGTTCTCCGGCCGCCCAGATTTGTAACAGGTGGCAAGTGCATTAGCCGTCTGCATCCTCCACCGGAGGTCGAACAGGTCGCGGTCGCTCGATCCTTCCCGTGAATCTCCCAACTCATCTCTAGTTGCCACTCTTCCGCAACTTTAGTTAACCGAAATTTAGCCGGTTTACGCATGGTTCGATTTACTGTTAACCGTTTAAACTTCGGTTAACTCGATTTGTGGAACCGGGCCTTAGAATTCAGTGTTCGAATTTGTAGTTGAGAGTGGTAAATTAGAATTATTAGAATTGATTTGGTTCTTATCTATTCTAATCTACAGAAGTTAATAAGTACCGCCGATCATTTGTAGGTTATTGGTGAACTACTTTATTGGTTAGTTTACTTGAAGGTTATGAAGAATGAAATTTAAATTCACTTATGAAGAATATTCAATTATTTTACAATGATTCTGTCAGAAAATGGGCTTCTGTCAAAATACATTCATATAGGATTCGTTGTTGCCCTTTATTGGTAAGGTTACTAAATATTCCTTAATTTTACTGTTACTTCGATTTAGAGCACGAAACGTAAACAATCAAATAGCTGTATATAATTTAAATTATCATTAATTCAGATGTAACATAGACTATAATACTTATATTTCTGATTCTATTTACAGGATAGTCTCTATTCTTACAGTATTTGTGAATAAAGCGCTACTTTCCAGTGAAACGATAAATTTAGATGCACCATTATTTGTAACATGGTTTCAGTGTGTCGTAAGTGCTGTTGTATGTATAATTCTTAGTTTATTATCACAATGGTATCCCCAATACATCCATTTTCCAAGAGGTCATCCATTCAGTCTCGACACTGCAAAAAAGGTGATAGAAAAGTTTCATGTAGTCCACATTATATATACATTATAGTAGTTTTAAACAATTATTTGGTTCTACAGATTCTCCCACTATCTATGCTATTTGCTGGCATGATAGCTAGTAATAATTTATGTCTCAAGCACGTGGGAGTTGCATTTTATTATATAGGTCGTTCTTTAACTACTGTTTTTAATGTCATCTTTACCTACACAGTTCTTGGTAAGCAAATAATTTCGTATTACAGATTTGATTTAAGTACACTATGGTGACTTTTGCACCGTAAGATACTGATAGCACTGGACACTATAATATAGAACTTTATGGAGATGAAGTTATATATTATATATCTGGATTTTTCTTGTAAAAACCATATGAACTGAGCTGTTGAGTCATATATGTAATGTATGTTAAAAGGGATGCAACTCGTATTTTGTATTTGCATATAATTTTTGGCCACAAGTTAGTAGCAGCTGTTCACAAATAATTTATTATTTTTGGGATTCGTCAATATTATCTAATTGACAATTCACAATCACATTTCATAACATTTGAAATTCTTAGTGACAGAATAATGTTATATTGATCTATTTCTTGATAACCCTTCATATTGTTATGTATTATACCTAATTACACAGCATGTAATGTCATTGATGGTAATCTTAGGTTTCATTCTTATGTCAAGTCATTAATATCATTATTAATTACCTAGGTCAAAAAACATCGATTAAATGCATTGCCTGTTGTGGTGTCATTATACTGGGATTTTGGCTTGGCGTTGATCAAGAGCACGTCCTTGGCTCTTTGTCAATCTTCGGGACCATTTTTGGAATACTTGGGTCATTGACACTCTCCTTATATTCAATCAAGACAAAAGAGGTTCTTCCTTTGGTAAACCAGGAAGTCTGGTTACTTTCTTATTATAACAACGTATACAGTATTGTTTTGTTCATTCCTCTAATGTTAATTAATGGGGAGTATCATGTAGTACGTGATTATGACAAACTGAATGAACCGTTCTTCTGGTTGGCAATGACTGTTGGTGGATTGTGTGGATTTGCAATAGGTTATGTTGCATCTTTGCAAATCAAGGTTACATCCCCACTGACACACAACATCAGCGGAACAGCAAAAGCCTGTGCGCAAACTATTTTGGCTTCCTACTGGTTTTACGAAAGCAAATCATTTCTTTGGTGGTTGAGCAACTTTATTGTTCTTGGTGGTAGTGCGGCATATGCCAGACTCAAACAGCTGGAGATGCAAAAGGCTCATATTGAATATAAACATCTTCCAACATTTAGTGGGGGAGTCCATAATAAGTGAGAAATTTTTAGAGTATTTAAATAAACTGAGAAAAATATATGACCGTGTTACTATGCTAACACAACCAAAAGGATGAATTTTAAAATATAACTCTGTAAAAACGTGTTATTTAGATAACTCTAAAGAACTTAAACAATAATATACAGTTAAACTGTATATTAAAAGGACGTTAAACGTAGACTTGCTTTAAGTTGAATAATGTAAATATAACGCATTTATTGTAAACAAAGTCAAAAAGTATAAAAAACATACCAATGTAAACAGTTCCTTTAAATAAATAATGCACACTAATATGTACTTGCACATCTTTCACACTTGCACAAATGCAGTTCATGACATTCTAATTACAATCACAATTACTTCTTCTGTGATGTTAGCCTCCACTAACAATGCTAGTTAACATTAATTACGTTTACAACAGGTAATTGATTTTGTATCAGTATTTCGTTAATTAGCTGTCATATAAATGATTTTCACAATACAATTAATACCTAGAGGCTAATCCACCGCCCCTACTGTCCGAGTGACTAGTCATGGAGTCTTTGTTTTTAATTATGACGTTGACACTTTTTGGTGCTTGATTAGGATCAGCATTTGACAAATTAATGAGTTGTACCCGCAACATAGTATCGGCTGCGTGTTTATCGTCATTTTCTATTACAATGCCATCTGGTTTGACGAAGTATCTGGAAAACCAACAATTTTATTTTATGTGATTCAAATCGAATCAAAATATTTTTCTTGACAATGTTTACCGGGGAAATTCAACAGCTGCAGAGACATTGAGATGTCGTACAATTATATTGTACAGAAGCTCACTGATGAGGACTGGATCATCTGCTCCTAATACTCCTCGTAAGGAACATATGTTTGATTCGTGACGAAAGATGATTGGGCTCAGTGAAGACAATTGGTTAGCATAATCAAGCAAAAAACCTGCCTCTGTCATGTGCCCAAGACCTAACGGTCTAGATAAACCCCTGTACACAGTTGATGGAAATCAAATATCTGGAGATTATAAAAAAATTGAATTTTACGAATTCATACATATTTAAAATATACGTACGAACAATTCGTTGTAATGAAAAAATAATATAATTTTTTGCAACAAATGTATAATTTAAAATTGCAAGTTTTATATGCAAAGCTTCTACCCGAATTTATTATAATATTAAATGCATCATTGCTTAAGGTGAAGTGAAACCAGTCGAGAAATTTGATCGATGTTGGTAAAGAACATTCTTCTAAAGACTAAAAGTGTCTTCATAAGACTTTTGCCTTTATATCGTTCAAATGCGAATTTCTCAATTATTAGTGTTCTAAATTGTATAATTGTTCCGACACTTTCGTTTTTCACATCAGAGCCTTCAATAATTGTACATTGATCGAAATATTAGAGCTTGATGCCATCTTGATTCTGGGCTTGGCTAAATCAAACAAATTTCTTTTGAAGATTCAAATTTTGAATGTATCGGAATAATTCTTAGATGCTCATGTGTCGTATGTCAAAGCTTCAAACAGTTTGGTCCAATATCTTAAAAAAAAAAGTTTCTTCTAATTGACTGATCTGAGAGGGGTTTCGCTTCACCTTAACAAGTCGAATGTCAAGAATCATTGGTGACCAGTAACTCCATTACCATAGCTCATTAATAATTTGTTTTGACATTCAACCTGTTAAATGTTTTAAACTTACGTTACAATGGAAACGTAAGTATCTTGCTTGTCCATTGCTACGACACTGGTATACATTCCATCTTCATCTGTAAATGTTTTGAAAAGTATTAGTGTTTACCACGTATAAAAACATTGTATTACGGTCATTTCTGTATGAAACTTAGTCATGCGTAATCTTTGAAACCAAAACTGAGTATTACAAAACATTATTCAATTAGATACAATGGTATTAATTGTATACGAACAATTTGATTCCATTTTTCGGTCTGCAAAATAGGATCGGATAAGGGTTTTGCTAACAAGAATCTGTGAATCGATTCTGGAAGCATTTTCAAACGGTATGTGAAGTTTCTCCAGTTCCTCGAGCGCACGTGGTAGGTCAGTACTTTGTGATGGATAGTAGATTACATGATGATAAAAGTTAGTCTGTTGTGCCTCACTCACTTGAGGTTTATAATCAGCCAGCTGGTGTAAAAGGTCTTTCTTTACAACAGCATCTCGCACCACTTTCAAAGACATTGTTCCATTGTATAATGCTGAAAAATAAATTACATTATAGCATGGTCAGTGATGTGAACTGAATGTGTGTGCGTGTGTATGAAAACAATGTTGAACATTTATCACTTTTTTAATGTAATTTTACTTGAAATTATATTATTGATATAATGGATTGTGCATTATGTTAAGATTATGTGAAACCTTATATGTATATATATAAATATGTTTTACTGTTTACAAATTTTGATAAAATATGCATAACGCAAAAAAATATATATTTCAATAATTAAATACTTAAACTGTATGCATACAAACTAACTCAAAATAAGGATTTTTATTCTTACTTTTTGGAAATAATCACTTGTGTTAATTAATTAGAACAATATTAAAAACATGTCAGATGGTTCATGAAATAATCTGACTACCAACCATCAGCACCGTAATGAGCAACAGCTTCCAAAGTAGTAGCAAGGTTTGGTAACATCAATTTCTCATTAGGAATTAGGTGGCCATAGGGAAGTCCAAAATCAGTATTTTTGGATAGTTCGTTAGCCAACTCATCAGATACAATAAATCCCATTCGTGCAAGATTCACCGAAGGCTTGACTACTTCATGCCAATGTAAATTACCTTGTAAGGAATGTGCAAGTTCTAGACCTCGAAGAAAAGCAGGAATGCGCACATTTACAGAACCGTAGTCACCTGTAAATCAGAAAATACAAATTTTATCAGTGCTCTGAAACTGGTCTATAATATTTTGATGTAAAACCTTCAATGGTGTTGTTGGCAAAATCCACAAGTAAAGGGTTTTCTTGCCCCTTGTGGTTATAGATCATAACATAACCACCTCTGCAATAAAATATGATGGTCACTTACATTCCGAGAGTATGCGATAAACAATCAGTATTTGAAACTTACCCACCGAGACCAGTTTTGTGTGGAGCAACAACAGCCATGCATATTGTAGCTGCAACAGCTGCATCAACCGCATTACCACCTTTTCGTAATAGCGTTGTTCCAATTTTTGAACAATTCGTATAGTCGGTAGCCACTGCTCCATGATCGCTAACTAAAATCTAATGACACATAAAATAGGTAAAAGTAATCACCTATTTAACTTAGTATTAATTATGTAGATTTACCTCAGCCGTGTTATTCCTGTAAATTATGTCAAGTATCAATGCTATTGTAATACCAATGGATAAGGTGATAAAGCAACAAATAATGAGTCTTAAACTGTTGCAACAGTTGCTCAATCTCCATTGATTACTGCTGTCTGTTGTTAAAGGACTACCTTCTGTTAAATTTTCTGTAAAAGAAACAAGAATACCGCTATATAAATCCTTATAAATTATGAACAAACTCTTAAACATATATAATGTACTAAAAAGCAAATTTTTATGTCCAAGATTGTTATTAGTTGATGTACTGAAAAAAAAAATTAGTGATATACAAAATAAAATTTCTAGTACATCAACTACGAAATCTATTACATTCAATTATTAAATCTTTTTACATAATTATGAATTTGTTTCAATATTTAGATAACTATCAGCAGTATACAATTCATATTAAACTTAAAAGTTATAAAACCTTTTTTAGCTTGACAACACGATTCATAATCATGAGTTTGTCCTTTTATATTTATGTGACAACTACTACAGCAAAGGTGAAAATAATTCTCAGATCTGTTCCGATTCTCATGTGATTTTAAATCGCATGTGTGCAATGACATTCTCTTTTAACTTTGTACTCATATATAGATTAATAAATATCCTTTTTTCTTTAATGACCACATGACTTTGATAAACTTAATCTGCTGTGTCAAGTTTGACGTTCGATTAGAATCGCAATTTACGTCAGTAGAATTCTGGTAACTGTCATCCAAGAACAAGTGAGGTTACAATTAAACAATCGACGAATTTATACCTAAGTCGGATGAATTTACTTTTCCAGAACACTTACGTCTGTCGTTGTCAAACATCTTTCTATTTACTGATTTATTGCAAACAGAAAATCCGAGAAACCACCAGATTGGGTTTCTACATCACCAACGAGGTTAGGTTGAAACTGTAACAGTGTGCAAGCTCTTTATTACATGTGGTATATACATTTTCTTACTTGTATAAAACTATTGTCTAATTAGGGATACCGTGTGCAGATCAAGGACTATTTTCATTAAATTGTGTGGGGTACAATATGATAACATATTAATAACAGAATTGCTTTATTTCAAATTCAGAAGTATCTCTGTACATATATATTTAATATTTACTCAGGCTTTACATAGGCACAAGACATGTAACATGATTCTTTAATCAGTGCTAATGTATAGAAATTATTTATATCGATATAAAATCATTTAGTTGCAAATGATATCTTATTATAATTTATCTTTAAATATTCTTCTAGGACCATTCAAATAATACATAATGAAATTCATGCAACCATATTTTTTAATATCACTGTTAAGTAAAATTGCGCAAAAATAAATTTACCTCGTTGCAAATTACATATACTTAACCAAATTACGCATCACTCCTCTGCCTTTATCTCATATTATTATCAGTTGAACAATTTTTGACAGAAATTTTGTTCCTTAAACTTTTTCTCATATGTAATGTATTGCTTAATATCCCCTACATCAGGGTGTCTCACTTATTTTGATTACCCTAATTACTTCATTCTTAAATATATGACAAATTTCCCAAATAAAATGCTAACTGAAGTTCAAAAAAATTTTGTTCATGTATCGAAAATCATGAAACTTTGCCTCATAAATTCGGGAACAAAAGAAACCAGGGTGGCTATAATAAATCAGGCATCTTGTAGAATTTATATACGATAGAATACCGATCAACATTAAAAAAATTATTTCTCAAAGCAATAACATCTCTGAAGAACCTGGACAAAACTTGCTATAATGATAGCACCGATATTCACGATTGTAAAGCTTCGAAAATTTTGAGCATAAAATCGTGGCAATAGTGAGAGCACTAAAGCTTATTGAAAATACAAAATAATTACATGGTACTTTCTCCCTGATGTATATCAGCACGAGGCAGGTCAATATGTTTGTTGGCATTCGAAACCAATTAGTCATACATGTACGGAAAGCTTCTGGGACAATTATACCACGCAGGTAACCAATTGCTGGGTAATACATGCCAACTGCGATCTCATAACACATAAAAGCAGCTAGACAAATATAAGTACCAAAATGTTCCTGAAACAATTGCGTTTGTATATAAGCACCGTATGTACAAGTAAGGATGCTGCACAAACTGAAAATTAAGCTCACTTGAAGCAATATGTCACAGGAAACCCGATATTTCGATAAAAGTAAAGAGTAAAATGAACTACCAAGCATGATACAAAACATGAAGGAACCGAACACGATTCCATGACTTGGATTTATTGGATCCAAAACTGGAGTCCATAAAAAAATGAACACATTCATCACGGATTCAAAAAGAGATTGAATAATTCCTAAATATAAAAAAATCCGGTTATTCTTATTGAAAATTAGCTGTAAACTGTTTATCCAAATGCACTGTGGTTTGGCAGATCGTATTACATTGTTTTCTTCCCAAAAAATTGCACACAACCCTCCTGAAATTGCTAAAATAGGTACTGCCAAAATAAAAGGAGCAAGTGGTCCAAAATTTAATTTATCAGCTAGTATTGCCGATACACAGCCAGCTACTATTGCTGACAGTCCATTGTAGAATGCTGATTTCGACAGTGTTATTCCGATCCACTCTTTATCCAATTTGAAGTTAGATAGATGTTGACTTACGTACCACGATTCAAAGGTTGAAAAAAGTACCAAAGATGATATTCCACCGAGTACCCGACCAATGATAAGTACCCAGAAATTATTAAATATCTTCGCTAGACATGCCAGGGAATACAAAATATGATAAGACACGCAGAACATTTTCTGCCCATATTTGTCGGCTAAGTGTCCGATTCCGATTCCAAAAATTGTGCTGCTCGCAAATCCAGCTGCATATAGCAACGAAATATCATAGCTGTTGTACCCATAACTGATGTACAATCGATACAAGTATGGACCTTGTAGCCAATCGGCAAACGCTGCCAATGTGAAAACAGTCAGGTACTTTTTGCATAACGACACGTAGATAATTTCTTTGTTAATTTTCTTCTCCACTTCCATGAATTAGACTGGCACAGCGTTATCAAGTTTTCACCTGTTAAAAAAAAAATAAAATGTCAAGAGAATATTTTATCGGTGAAATATATATCCTAGCACCTGAGGATTGGTGTAACGAAACGTGTCTTCCAACAGGGCAGAATTATGAAAATCGATAAAATAAACAATAAACCTGTCATTAAGTTTAATGATTTACGACAATTGAAAGAATGAGCAATTTACCCAAGGATGAAATGAATCGCGAAGTTCTTCTTTACTTACGTTTTATTTTTCTTATAGTACTTATTAAAAGCGACATTGGACATTAAGCAATTAATTCTGAAAATTTGTCAGTCCATATGTGTCTAACTTTACATCGTCTGCTGCTATCAGCTGCAATTATGTACGAAAATGTAAGCAGACCATGGACATAGGAATATAAGGATTGGCATTTGCTGCGGGGTTGAAACCGAAATGGGAGTAGTCGGCCATATTGGCACGTTCAAGTGCCAGAGTCAAACGTGTGCTAATTCAAAAGTGAAAAATCTTCAATTTTCAATTTCATTGTTCGCTTAAAATTATTAATGCGAGAATGGTGTTCCGTGTGGTTCGTAATTGCGAAGAAATAACTGGGAAGCCGAAGAAAAGGAAGTAAGATGAACCCGTCGTTTCGTTTTATATATCAGTTTTGAAAAATTGCTTCTTTTTTAAATTTATTAACGTTGTTTCTCATTCTGAAGAAGTAATGATAAAAGAACGATGATGTATGTTAAGAAACAGTGTCGGTAATTCGTTGTGCCGCCCTTGGGGGCAGAACACGGTGAAAGCTAACGTACGAAACCAGAGGGCAGCACAGGATGCGATCGCGCGACCTGCCCTTGAGCAATCTCCCAACTCATCTCTGAGACCTATTCAAATCTTGCGGCACGTTTGGACATGGTCTGGACATGGTAATATGACTACCCCCGTCTCGTGGCTTCACCACCCCTTATCTGAGTTACCGTTTTATGTCGATCCCTACATTTCTACGTCCATGAAGCAGATAGAAAATAGCAGACGCCCCGTGTTTTGCAGATATCACGAATCGATATCGCCTGGCGGCTCTCTATCGAAACTGTTCCATTATGGTGATATGAAAGCAGCATCTGAGGAGTCAAAACGTGTATGAAAGTATTCTCCGAATTGTACCGATTAGTTTCAAATTTCATCATACGTATAAGGAAGCCTTAAGGTAAGTCTTGAAACTCGCAAAAATGCAATTTCTATACAACATTTTTCTTATTTATCATGGATTAGAAGCAAACTTAGCGTCGTCCACGTATATTTTTCTTGTTTTATGTTATTTAAAAGCTTAAAATTGCAAATTAAGACTTTCAGGACCTAGCTCAAACAATTTAGAATATTATAGTAATCGAATATTGCAAAGTCAAATGAAAAAATTTGGAAAATACGTTCATAAATGATTAAGAGAATGCTGACTTGCTTCGTGGGTAACACGTGCTTTTAGAGTGAACATTTATTTGTAGCTAAACATGACAGATGGCGCCATTAGGCGGTTAAAGTATCAAAGGTTATGAATCCAAGGGGTATCTTCAGTTTTACTTCGGTCTCTTGATAATTACAGTACTGAAACGACATATGGAATACACCGTTTCGTAGAATATTTAATATAATATGACACAGTTGTCAATATAAATATAAACGTCGGTAACGTGGAATGCTGTCTCAAATAATGTTCAGGTAGAAGAGTTTGATTTTATCGACAACGATTACATTTCTCGGTAAGTTCACTTCACAGCAAGAGAATGCTGAACCTTCCTACAATTACCAGCTGAAATACGGTATACGAGTTCACAATAAAAAGGCATCTTTCCTCGACATAATGAAAAATGCTGTCCCGAAATAATAGATAACATACTGATTAAGGGAATGACTATCCAAATCGTGCTGGAATTGAATGATAGAGATATAAATTTGTTGATTCCGTTATCGTCTAAACAGTCACCAGCGACAAATCTGTGTCCAAACAATTTTAAAACGAAAAAATAGGTAAAATCCATGAACTAGTTTTACACGTGACATTTACGCGTGAAAATCCTACAACGTAAGAAGGACTTTAGGGTTCGGAGTCATCAATACAGATGACGATATAATAATCTTTTGATATAATAATAAATAAACTTTAATCAGGAAATTCGGTAGAGTTTCGCGCCAAATATTTACTTACATATCGTCGTATGTAATAAACTGAAAAAAAACGTAATTTTACAGTATTTCATGAGTAGTTGTCAAAAATGTGCTCGAACTTGTTCGGATTTCAATACGAAATAAACAATAGTAAGTAGCTGATCTCAGGACGTTGTATCGCTTGTTGAAGGCGTGTGAGTACATTTCCTAATTTTTTTTTTGTTTCACGAGGCGCCAACCGATAATACTGTTGCTTCTTTTTGTTTCGTTGCCCAAATTGTACTTGAATTAATTTGACCCTTTCAATCGGCTTCGATATCCCTTGAACCTCATACATCCCTTCCCCCGGAATTGTGTGTAAAAAAAATGAGGAAGTATGCTCACGCAGACTCTACAAACAACGCGAAATACTGTGATCGATTACTTACCTTTTGCCTATTTTGTACTGGAATTCAAACAAATTCGAGAAAAATTGAATATTGATAACGTAATCTTAACAACATAAACTAATTCCAAACACTTCGATTATTATATTTCCCGTGACCAAATATAAAGGAACTCAATAACAGAATCGAACATGTCTGTCATAGAAGACCGTGTATATTTTATTTTCATTAATACCAATGTTATAATTAATCGTAAGGTTTTATAATTATATGGAATTGCACGATGCGTACGAATTAGATTTTTCTTTTCGGTATAGTCGTTCAAACAAAGTTGTAAAAATCGTAACTATTTTGAGGATGAATGAGAAATCATTGAAGATTGGTCGGACGTTGAAGTTTACCTTGAAGTACAGACCATAAAGTGTGTTGACCTCAACCGTATCTTACTTGTCTAAAAGAGCTCGAAATCCTGACCGAACATTTATACGCGTAGTGGTCGTGTACGAAGGCACAGGAAACGCCACACGTAGAGACGGCTGTAGTTACTCGCAGTACCTTGGTCGAAATTGCTACGTAACTTGAATTTTTTATGATCGTACCGTACTCCCGAGCAATGCACGAAAGGTCTACGTGTTGGACCAGCAGTCTCGCGGGTTACGATCTGTTACTGAAAATCCATGATTCAAGCTACGAGAACCTGTGACACCCTCGGGACGTACGGGAAGAAAGAGTTACTAAAATCTCACATTGCTTCAAGTGTACTAAAAGTCTGACTCGTAAATGTTACAACACATACTCTTGTTTCGAAATGGATCTTCTTATGGCATGGGAGCAACATAGTTTTTTTACAGTTAATTACTATTTACATTCATCTGTATGTTCCAGTATTAACAGAAACGTAAATGTTTTTCTTAGTATAATTTAATTTCAATTTGTCCTCTAAAAAGTCAATCAGCGGCTGTGCTTCTAACTTGGTGAAGTTGACATTAAAATAGCCGCTTTATTATTTGTATTTCACTTCAATTCTTTTTTTTTACAGTTAATTATTACTTATATTCATCTTCGGATGTTGGTATTGAGACAATTTGTGTAAACGTTTTCTTTGTGTTAGCGCGTTATTCGCTCGGTTGATTATTCACTTCTTAAGTGAAATAATAAGAATAAGAGTAAGAAGCAATTATGTCCAGAACAATCGGTACCGAACGTGTGAGGGTGCTTTGCGAAGGAATAACTGAGAATAAAACAATAATATACAATAATTCTCTTCAACTTAAATGTTTCACTTCCAACGCGCGTGGCGGGTACGCATAGATTTTTCACTGCTCGACTATAATGAAACTATATTTTTAAACTATTCCAAAAGTTCTGTTATCGAGGCAGGAATGAATTAATCTGCTTTTTGGAATTTTCCTTTTGTGACCATCAATTGACTTTTTCAAAATTCTATTTCTCTTCGCTATTCCCTTCATTTTAGTTATCCTAGAGAAACGGTTATGGTAATGATTCCTTTACTTCATTTGTTGGATTGCCACTCTAACAGTAATTGCATAAAAAGTAGCCCCATCTATGTGAAACATCCGAAAAAAAGTCGATTTTAACTTTTTTTTTTAAATTGACACGAGCTATACCATTCTATTCAGCGGTCAAGTGCAATTTCGTTAATATCCAATTAAATGCTATGATCAAGAGCCTTTATTCAAGATTCAAGAATATTTTATTGTTGGTGCAAGTATTAAATTTGTTGCGTTCCAGGTTTCTCTTTATAACCGTGTGGTCTGATCGTCCATTATCGCGTAACCAATGTACGTACGTACACCAATAAACGTACTAACACACGGCGTAATATCAAGCTGATGTTTAGTACTGTCTACCGACAGGGTTCGCAGCTAATAAACTGCCGTGGGTTCGAGCTTTACGATCTCGATTATGTCCATTCGAACATTTGCATCTCTCGAACACGGAACAAAATGGTGAAGTAGTTTATGAATAGAAAAATGCGACAGGGCCTATCGTTCCGGCAGCAAATACATAACTTTCCGTTGTACACATTCCTGACACGCTAATATCTATTAAAAACTACGTTCATGAATTGATCTCTGGTGATTTAGCATTTTCTGCATTTTCATAGGTGATGATTGTTAGCTAGATTGTCATTGTCTTATTACTCTTTGTTCCTTGATACTATTTGCGCTTAACAATCCTGTGATCTAAAAAAGCCTGTAGTGCCACGTGAAAAAAGTGTTCTCGTTTAAAATTTTACAAGGTACTTCGCAGGAAGTAGATCGAGCAATTGATTTTTGATGGGTTTCCATTCCATACATCTACGGAGCACGAGTTTAAAAAAGCTGAAAAATGTGGCCTGCATATGAGAAATTTAATGCATGAAAAAAGCTGAAATTTTGTTTAAAAAAACTGGTTGAAAATAAAAAATTAGTCTATGCGCTCTAGATCATTCATTTTCTTCGTCACGTGTTCGTCGAGAGAGAACCATATTCTTCCCTGTGTTAGAAAGGAACTTAAAAATAAGGAAGAGAAATGCAAATTTTATGTAAATGTTTGCTGAGTTCCGCACTCGTGATAATTAATCATTTGCATTCAAATGTCGTTTCTGCGGTAGTAATCTAACTTGCTCTGAAAAGCGTAATGTAAAATAAGTCGTAGAATTCAGAATTGTTCACAGTATCGTGCTCTATGAACTGCATTTACTTAATGATTGGGATGCATAAGGGTTAAATGCAAAAATAAATCGTAAGGTACACTTCCATTTCGACTATTAGGCCTAAAGTAGGACTTCATTCGTATTAAGTAGAACATACAAAGTTGAAAGTACGACGTAAAGAACTCAATAAACACAAAAAAAGTGAAGATATAGTGTAGGTGTCTTTCAATTCACCGCTTTCCACCATCTCTAGTACATTTTCGGTTGTAAACGAAAAACGAAAACAGGGGCAATTTCAGGGGTTGAATTTAACCCCCTAAATATGCAGAGCTCTGTAGATCTAAAAAAATATATACCACGTGCAATATATGCCACTTCGTAACTGTATTCTCATATGTAATTGTCTTCTACCCTTCGTCATTAGAGAACGCGGAATGTATCACTGTGTTGGCGGAGCGCGCCTCTAACGAAAATTTCGAAGTAGGTTAATAGTACGGTGAACTTAAGCATTAAGCGTTGTCCAGGGTCGATAAGCTTTACAAAGTGAATTTGTTTAAAGACAAATGGCTGGGGTGCGTCCTGGATGAGATAGAAGGGAGTAGGATCGAATTTCCAGAGCGAAGCTTCGTGTTTCGAGGGTGGCTGTACTGCTTTCTAAATCCCGATTATATCGATAGGGTCTTTAATTTTGGTTGAAGATACCTCGCATGAAAAATCAGGACAATTATTTTTCCATAACCTGCTTCTCCTCCTATTTTATTGATATATTAAAATAGAAAAATCTTGGTTTAAAAATTAATTCATTTAACATTTGCCGAAGTGATTTTTATTGCTTATTCCCAACGTACCCACCGAACACACTATGTTACAATTACATAAAACTGGAATAACATGATATATAACGAATTTTATTCAAAAGATACATTAATATCATACAATGTGGAATTATTACCGTTCGGTAACATTGTTACAAACTTGTAAGCATTGCAGTTATATAATATTAACATAACATATAACATGTTACCGATATGTTATGTATACGTATGTATATAATTACATTGTTCGTTTTATAACAGTGTTATATAGCTGCGGAGGAAATAGTAATACAAATCTTACTTATATGTTATATGTATGTTAGATTACATGTTACAAACGTTATGTAATGGTTATATTATTGTTACATAACCGTGTTTGGTGGGTAGTACCTTTATGGACACGCTATCAGATCTGAGAATATTTATCACCCAATGCACAAAGGAAACAACTATTACCTATATCTTTCTCGGTCTAAACGATGTTAATCAAAAGTATTTCTGCAGTGTGCAAAATATAAAACGAGTTGTATAACTCGTCCAAGGTCTTCATACAACGGTTCAAAAATGTTTGAAACTGCTGCTTAACACCCCTTCTACCTTCCTGCAGAAAAACGTAGCCAATATCGTCACAAATAATGTTAATCCATTGTTTTGCACCGAACACAGATTTCGAGCACGCATTTCATACACGATTTTCAGCATTAGACACCTTTAAGCACCCTCAGGCATTTGCTAGGGTATTTCAATGCGTTTAGGTACTTTTTAGTTCCTTTAAGTATCTCTAGAAATCTCTGGTTAAGTATCGTTAAGCATTTATAAGCTCCCTTAACCATCGTAATCCAACTTCAAACATCTACTCCCCTTCAGGCACCACATTAGGAACCATTAAGCCCTTAGGCCTAACCAAGTTGAAAACAAATCCATTTATGCCCTACAAACACCTCTATGCCCCTTTAGGCGACCTAAGTCCCATTACACATCCTTAAGCTCCCTTCAGTATCGTTATCCACCATTAATCAGGTTAAAAGAAGATCCGTTTATGCTCTTTAGCCACCTTCGGAAGTCTCTAGGAACCTCCGGACAACCTCAGGTACCATCGGACACCTTAAGCTCCTCGCGCGTCCTTATCCGCCTTTAAACTCCCTTATCCCCTTCAGCATTAATCAGGTTCAGGGAAGGTCCCTTTAGGCCCCTTTAAATACCTTTAGGTCTCCCTAAGCCTCTTAGCCACCTTCGGGTACCTTCGGGTACCTTCGGGTATTTTCGGGTCCGCGCCTCGGTTGGAACGTCACGGCGCGAGAGGCCGTGGAGAGGGGGATTCGGCGCGTGACGTCGCCGTCGCGGGCTAACGGCGCGCCGACGGGAGGGCGGTGGGTGGCGGGCGGCGCCGGGGGGCGTCCGTGTCGTCGCAGGTGCGCGGGCGCGGGCGCGGGCGAGTGGCGACGACTCGAGCGTCTCTACCCGGGCAGTCAGTGTAACGCCGGCCGCGTAACGTCAGTGGTGGTCACTCGTCGTGGTCGCCCGTGGTCACTCGTCGCGGCGGCCCAGTCACGGCCGGTCACAGGGTCGCGCGCCGCTGCTGCCGCTGCCGTCGTCGGCAGTCCGAGCCGCGAGACCGTCGCGAGGTCCCGAGCCCCGCCACGAGCGTCGCCCTCCGGAGGAACGTCGTCGCGGGCGCGCACACGCGCCAGCCATGCCGGCGAGAGAGCGTCCGACTGCCCGCAGCATCCACGCCGGCGTTGACGCGTGCATCTCGGTGCGCTCCCGGTCGAAATTCTGATCCTACTTAGAACCGACACGCGTTCTACCGGCACTTTTTCTCGCCGACACCGCAGTCTTCTACACGGATGATCGATACCGATCATTTGGTCGGTGGCGATTAGCGGTGAAATTACTCATTTTAGTCATGAAATATCGGATATCCGTTAAGGTGGCGCGGAAGGGGTCTTTCGTTTTGGAAACCTTTCTCCGGAATGGGTGCAGCGCATCGCTTTACGTTTTACCTAGGGGGTGTGAAGGCTCTATGGAAGGTCCTCGTAACCATGGAGTTTCATTTTTTTTCTTTCTTTAGTTTATTTGTAAATGCTTATAACCTTTTATAAAATGCGAGATTGCAGGGGTGGCAGGACCTTCGTTAGGGGTTCTATATTCACGTGGGGGAATTTCGAACGATTCGGTACACTCGGTTCGGGGAAAAGTTTCATAAACTGGTGACCCTGCCAATGTGAGGTTTTGGTCGACTTGGTACTGGAACTCCTAGGTACTAGGTTGGTACTAGAACGGGGATGTTCCGTCCCCGGATTAATGACGAGCAGTCGTTCTTGATCTTGGTAGTTGTAAGACCGAAACCAGGATTCGACCGTGCAAGATCAAGACCATGGTAGTTTGGTCTTACGGGCCTTGTTGGTCTTGATCTCGATCTTGCATTTGCTCGTCACTAACTTGGGCGCATATTTGCCCTCCTGTGTCTTCCGTTGTTAGTGAGGTAGAACGCGGGAATTGTGTAACTTTTATTAAAATTATCCACCGTTAGAACATTTTCTAACTGTTCCTTTTGTTGCTTTGAATCTTCGTAACCCTCTAACGTGTTAATTTATATACCTGGGAGTTCTATGTAGGAGGTTTATATGGGTTTGAGGTAATCTAAAGAAGAATACCTTCAATCAAATCGACGAACACCGACGCGATACTTATTTTTTTCTGCGATCTAACCATCCGATTCTTACGTTTGTCGTTGCGCCACCCTTAACACGAAGTACGCGTGACGAGCTTATGGTAGGAGTTAATTTGTATTAAACAGAAGGTCGAGATCTAAAGTAAGACTCGAAGAGTTAAATACGACCAATGGAGATCCTATTTAGGTTATGCAAGTTCAACGTAAGGCTAAAATTTCGACCCGAGCTTGAACCAAGCCCTCGTATTCCACCTTACCCGAGTCAAAATTTTGACCCTACTCTGAACCTCTAATTATAAACCTTAAATGGGTTTAGTGATAATATAAAGAAGGATAACTTCTATACAGTTGAGGTGCCACTTTAGATCTTCAACTTGGCGGATATTTTCATTTCTACCATGTCTTCATTTGCATTAAGTAAGATGTACGAGGTCAAATGTACGTCATGGAGCGTAAAACAGGACCAAAAGAGGTCTTAGATTACGCAGGTTCAAAGTAGGGCTAAAATTTCGACTCGGGTATACTCTCATTTTCAACCTTCTTCGACCTCCTCCGACCTCTTGCTCACCCAGCTTCTCTGCTCAATTTTTTTTTCTTTTCTTGACTTTTTTCTCTTTTTGTTTATCAGTACCGGCCCGATCGTCGCGCCTAAGCCCGCGCTTATTTCTTTTTTAAGGGACCCTCTCTGCGGTGCTCCGTCTTGCGACCTTCCTTTCATCGTTAGCTTCTTTCAGAGGGGTGAAAAGGAAATATTGACTGTGAGTAGGGTAGTGCTCGCACTGTGGGATCGCCAAGTAAAAAGTAGGTGCGCAGGATTACTGCCAAATCCGTGTCATTTTTCTTCACTGGCACTGTTTTGAGAAACTTCTCGCGGTGGAGGATGCACGTACAGAAAAATATTTGGTTGAATCGATGACACGTTCATTGATTCGACTATAGGATACGATTATTATATGGACAGTCAAATATTTGGTTAATATTGGACAATAATAATATTACACAATAAACTGGTACTGTTTTGAGAAACTTCTCGCGGTGGAGGATGCACGTTCAAAAAAATATTTGGTTGAATCGATGACACGTTCATTGATTCGACTATAGGATACGATTATTATATGGACAGTCAAATATTTGGTTAACGCGCGTAGAATAATATTTGATTGAACCAATAAAATGTTTTTCTGATTGGTCATAGAACATGGATGTATATGGACAAGCAAATTTTTAATCGACCTCGAAAAACTCATTGGTAACATTTGGTTAGGTTAGATAAAATGTGGGAAATCGCACCAAGTATTAAATTTATTTTCGGTCGTTTATCTGAAAAATCTGATTTACGGACTGAAATGTTTTCTAATGTTATCAAAACGATTTAACCAAAACACTTTAACTTATCGAGTTGTTCGGTCGAGTGAATTGAAATTCGGTTCTACCTACTAAAGCGTTTCCTGAAATTAACCAAATGCAGTCGATCAAACGATTTTATTCAATGAACCAATTTCTTTTAACCGCGTATGTCGTTCGGTCGATTTTTGGAGAATTACCTGGAAAGTAACAAAAATTTATTCAGGTATTTTGTGAAAATGTATTCTCGAATAGGTTTGGGAAAGGTGTGGTAAGTGTTGTTTCAGGACAGAAGTTTCATAAGTTGAATAATTGGTAGAGTTATCGCGGTAACGACAAACCAACGTGTAGTTAATGTTTTCTCAACGTGTTTTCGGACTGCGAAATAAGTTCTATAGAAAAGAGTTGAAAAGAAGTGTTTTGTGGTCACGAAGCTCTTTTAAAAGGAGGAAAGCAAAAGCAAAGCTCCGAAACGATGAGCAGGAAAGTAAAAGTATATAGTGGCTTTCATTGTACCATTTTTAACAGTTCTTTCCATTGTTGTCATTAACGACTATATATTACCTGTAGCTAACTTAAAAACATGAGAACTGTTCATGTAATTAGTTGCCTGTGCAATTCGTTCCTTGTGTACACTTTTTTTGTGGCCTTTACCATGATTTTTATAATAATTTACTATTATTTTATATTTATCATTATAATTTATGTATAGTTACGTATGTATAGGTATTATATTTAGGAGTCCTTAATTTAAATGTTTAAATTTTTGACACGCGTGTTAGATCGACAAAATAAGAGAAAACTCTTGCAGGAATTTACTCGTTTTTGTTTCCTTTCAGAAAAAAAAAAAACGACTAAACCAAACAATTGCTATTTTTTGCTTAGTTAATGCAACACATGAGTATGTACTGATTCCCAAAGAAAAGAGTGCAACTCAAAGCCTGAATTATTACTGCAATGCACAAAATATCATCCGAATCAATGTCTAATTGCGACATGGATCGTCCCTGAGTGTAATACTTGTATCAGTGCAAGAAGTCGAATTTGTAATAGTTCTTGCATTAGGCAAGCAAAAATCGGCAATATTTTGATTTGGTAGTTTTTTTTATTTTCTCTAAAAGGAAGCAAAAATGAGCAACTTCCCGTGAGAGCTTTTCTCTTAGTTCCACAGTTTCCCACATATTACAAAATTACGGACTTCCTGTAATGTTTCCATTATGAAGTTCTTTATTTTGTATATTTTTTATGTCCCTGTCTTTTATAAGTTCCCGAGGTATTACCGTTTAATCTGATTTCCTAACATTCGTCGTTATCAAATCCACGCATTTGGGGCGAATATAGTTCATCTGAGGTCAGATTTAACGGATTATCTGTTTAACGGTAGTGAAACAATCAAATTAACGTCTGGCCTAGACTATACTAACTAACGATTGGATGGGTCCATTGAGTTCGAGTTGTGTGTGTGTATCACGTGGAACCGTCATTGAGAATATTGAACAGCGGTGATTAATCCTTTTCAATATTTCGGATCATTTTTATACAACTCTTTGCTCACTGATGTTGCTGATAAAGGAGAAGGAATTATTTTTGGAAATAATAATTCAGGTTATTATTAGAAAAAAAACGTATGATATTATTATATATTTTAAGGGGCTGCAGCGATTATTTCTTATTATAAATTTTTCTTAAAATTTGTATGCATTTCATTGTTGATACATTTTCATGTACAGGGTGAATTAAGAAGAGTGGAAAATATTTTGGTAGACGATAATTTGAGCTATTGTAGTAACAAATGTTTAATGAACTGTTAATTTCAGTGTTGACGATACGGCTACTTAAATTTTGTAGAAATACGTGAAGTAATAACGTATCGTACATGTGTTACAGTCGCAATAAATGCTGAAAAACTTAATCAAAACGCTAATATACTTTACGACATTTACGATATTTTTTTCAGCATTTATTATACAGTATTTTTGGCATATATAGATTCTCCTTCTTATCGCCATCGTAAAGAAAATTTGCATTGATGCTAACGACAACGTTTTTGCACAGGAAATTTGAGTGAATTTATTTATGAGATTGGGAGGTTGAAATTAATATTTCCCTCTTTTTTTCCGATCGGAGCAACTTTGGAAAAGGGCATTTCCGTTTACAGCATATTTTTGCATTCCTTTAGCAAGCGGTAATGAATGTTGTCGGACGCAATTAAGAATATCTGACCTTACTGAAAAGAGTTTAATATATTCATGAAACTTCAGTAGACGCGATATAAGAAATCTATGAAATCCTAGCAGTAAAGCTTTAGATTTAATATGAAAATTACTAAGACTTGCGGAATTCCGATAGACATGCCATAGAATTAATTTTTATGTAAACCACGAATCCCCCGTTTAAGACTGATCTTTCAATTGATACCGAACTATTTGTAATCGTCGTGATAACGGATTTCGGAAATATAACATTCATTGAAGTTCTACTTCTACGAAGAGCTTGAAAAAACACTAAATTATTCTTTAAAATGGGTACGATAAATTTTCCTCCATTGCAATGTTGTGTAAAATTATAGTTTCAGGGTGTAATTCGAGATGGAGTTCAGTTTCCGTTACATAAGCACGTTTATAATTAAAAACAAATAATCCTAGTCATCCCTAGGCGAGGCCACTAACTTGAGAGGGAAAAAATATAATAAGGACATTATTCTGTGAGCAGATTGGAACCGAGCCAACTTGACTCAC